CTCCTATATGCCAGTGGCCTCCCTCCCCTAGTTCCACCAATCTGGAACACATGGACCAACACTCAAGAGGGGAGGGCCCCAGCAAATTCAAAGGCAGTGAATAAATTCACCCTAAACTTCCCAGGCAAGCAGAAGGGCCTGGGGGGCAGAATGGCATGGTACCGGTGCATCACTTAGAAGGTCCAAGGCAAAGAGTGTGGAAGAGACCTCCCCAGCTTGCACATCAGTGGAGTATTACCCATCAAAAATGCTAATGGGGGCTGGGTGCAGTGGCTCACACCTGTAATCCCAGCACTTTGGGAGGGTGAGGTGGGCAGATCTCTTGGGTCCAGGAGTTCAAGGCCAGCCTGGATAACATAGAGAAACCTCATCTCTACAAAAAATACAAAAATTAGCTGGTATAATAGTACATGCCTATAGTCTTAGCTACTTGGGAGGCTGAGGTGGAAGGATTGCTTGAGCCCAGGTGAGGCTGCAGTGAGCCAAGATTGCGCCACTGTACTCCAGCCTGGGCAACTGAGTGAGACTCCGTCTCAAAAAAACAAAAACAAAACAAAACAAACTGCGAATGGGACGGATCTCTGTGCGAGAGGGCAAGGGAAAGGGTTTGCTATGTCAAGTGAAAAAAAGGCACAACTGCATCTACCTTGAGACTAAAACTTAGAAGAAACTGTATCGGCCCACTCAGGACAGAGGCAGAAAGGAGCCCAGAGGAATGAGAAGGTTGCTGCATTTAGAGCAATGAGCTTATGAATTCCCCCCCTTTTCAATTTCCTTACTGTTATTTTGTTATTGTTGCAAAAACATAAATGGATGATCCCAAATGTCCACTGATGGATGTGTGGATAAAGAAATTGTGGTATACACATTCAGTGGAATATTATTCAGCTGTAAAAAGGAATAAAATGAGCAGGTCAGGTGGCTGAAGCCTGTAATCCCAGCACTTTGGGAGGCTGAGGTGGGCGGATCACAACGTCAGGAGATTGAGACCATCCTGGCCAACATGGTGAGACCCTGTCTCTACTAAAAATACAAAAAAATTAGCCGGGCGTGGTGGCAGGCACCTGTAGTCTTGGCTATTTGGGAGGCTGAGGCAGGAGAATTGCTTGAACCTGGGAGATGGAGATTGCAGCGAGCTAAGATTGTGCCCCTGCACTCCAGCCTGGTGACAGAGCAACATTCCATCTCAAAAAAAAAAAAAAAAAAAGGAATAAAGTCCTAGTGCCTGCTATGATGTGAATGAACCACTTATATTAAGTGAAGGAAGCCAGATTTAAAAGGTCACATATTGTATGAATCCCTTTTGATGCAATGACCAGGATCAACAAATCCATAGAAACAGAAAGCCGACTGGTGCTTCCCTGGGGCCAGGAAGCAGGGGGATGGGAAGTGACAGAGGTCTCTTTTAGGGGTGATAAAAATGTTTTGGAACAAGACAGAGGTGGTAGTATACCATATTGTGAATGGACTAAATGCCATAGAAGTATACTCTTAAAAAGGTGAATGTTATGTGAATTTCACCTCAATTTAAAAAAACCCATAAATGGATGAAAAACGTCTACCACGCCAAGATCCACATGGACAGGGGGCTCTCCACGTGGAGGGGAGAGCAGGGCAGAGAGAAGCACAAAGCTTACAGAGGCCTGGCTGGCTGGACCAGGCTTGTTAGCCAGGGTTACACAAAAGGACACGGTTAACGACGCTCAGATGTGGGGAGTGAAGAGCCTTCGAGAGCAGAATTGTTGCAATCCAGGCCTCTGCCGCCTCCCCTTTCTGTTCTCCAAAGGAAAAAGCGCAGGGCTGTGGTTTGGCAGCCCTTGCTGCCCCGAGACAGCACCTGTGGATCGAGTTTCTCCCAAGGAGTCTGGGAGACTGCATCTCCACGCCTGGGCCCAAACTGTGGTCTGGAGAGGGGATGACCCTGCAGGCTGGTGGGAGATGAGGACATGGAAGAACCCATGACAGGGCGATCCCTACCCTGGGAACGAGGCAGGATGAGGCAGGAGAGGGACGTTTGGATTCCTAGGTGCCTACTTTCCCACTGAGCAAGTTGACACCCTGAGGCAGCTCCAAACTGACTAAGGCCCTAACTTCTGCTGTCAGGCCATCACCCAACCACTGGGATCCTCCCTGCTCTTCCACGGATGACACTGGGGCCTGACTGCCACTGTGAGCTGCACCATGGAGCTTCTGCCCACAGCTAGAGGTGCCCCTGGCTGATGCACAAGGTCTCTGGACTTGTCCCACATGCAAACCTCTTCGCACGGGTTGCATTTCTGCCATCTCATGTAGAGGGATCATCGCTCACAGACCTGGCACAGCCCAGGCGTCTCATGCCGGGTGCTGCCATTGCCCACGGGTCCTCCCCTGGCCAGGCGTGCTCACGTGGAACATAGGAAGTGGGCCAATACCACCTGTGAGGCCTGTGCTCTGAGTTGCTTGCTCACCCATCCCACCCACAAGGATCTGCTAAGCCCCTAAGACAGGTTCGAATGAGCTTCTCAAAACCTTGCTTTGTTTCTCAGTCCCCGAGTGCCTTAACAAGGTGGCCGATTCACAAACACAGGCCAAGTGGTCAGTGTTCAGGGAGAACGGGCCTTCTGCTTGCTAGAAAGCATCTTCTCCAAGGGGAAACTGGAAAGAACGAGCCACATGGACAAGATGTCACAGGAAAAAGTTACCCAACCCAATAGATGGTCTGGCAATGTTCAGCTGGTGAACAGTGGGAAACCACCCAAGTCCAAATAACGTGCCTCAGGGCTGAAATTCATTCCAGAAGTATTAAGCACCTACTGGATACACAGAACAGCCAGAACTTGCTGCCCTCAGGGAGCTTATAGTCTAGTGGGGGGAGGCTGGCCACACTCAGTCATTTGAACAATGAGTGCAAGTTTCAGGGGAAGCGGCTGCTGGCAGGGGTTCTGCCTGCATCTCCAAACCCTCTCTCAGTCCCTCCCCCAGTAACCATGGCCTTGGGACAGGGTGGCAGCTGGGGCTTGGGTCTGCAGCGTCCAGGTGCGGAGGGGTGTGTACACCCTGCTTCTCTCTTCCGAGGCCAGGGGCTAGGACCTAACCACTTTGGGAAGTTTCTCAGGAAAGCAACTTGGATCTGGGTTTCACCTACTCCCCTTATCACATTTTGAGAACAAGAGGGGAAAAGGGGGAAGTGGAAAAAAGGGAAATTGGCTCAATATCCATCGAACGGGCTAGTCTAGGACAGCAATCAGGGCCACGGAAGAAGAGACAAGAACGGGGCACTTGCTTGTCCCAGCAGTCAGCCCAGCGTTGGAAACTGAAGCCAGGACTGGCCTTTTGAGCTAGACAAGTCCTCTCCCCTTCCCGCTCTGCCTCCCCACCCACCTCACGCTGCTGTGGCCAGGTACACACGAGGACTACAAATGCGCATTTCATGTTTTCGCCTTGCTGGGCAGAGCTACTCTGGGACATCGGACAGGCTGCGCTGAGAAAGGTATTTCCTCTGTGAGCCGGACTTTCCATAAAATGAAAACAGCAGCATGTTACCTTTGCAGGCAGAGGGGCCAGCAGGGGACTAGTGTGTCCCATGCCCCTCAGCAGCAAGGAAGGCGGCCACATCACAGTACAGGCGGCTCAGACCACAGACCCAGGTGCTGAAGGGACCCCTCCCCGGCCCCACATCTTCCCGCCAGGCGTGGAGTTTCCACAGCTGGAGGAGGACCAGGGTCCTCTCCAACGAACACACTAACCATTTCTAACGCGGTCCCAAGTTTCCATTCCCATATCAAAAGCGCCTCTTTTCTGCTGAGGCAGCAAGACCTGCCGACAAAGCAGGCCACTGGGACCCACGTTTTCACGACACAGCCCCTTACCTCCAAACGCACTTCAGTGAATCACTCAGGTTTAACTATCGGCAGCTGGGCTGGTGGCAGGAATCCGTGTGAAAGTCAGACCGTGGGGTCCGGGCCAGTCCCTGGGGCCCAGGCCAGTCCCCATACACCAGTGTCCCTGCCCTGCCCCTGATCCCCTCCTCTGCTGATTGACAGAACCTCTTCTCTAGGCCCCCAAACGGAAAACCAGACAGGATTGAGTGCCTGCCCAGGGAGAGTCCATCTCCTTTCTTGAGAACAGCTCCTGTAGGGGCGAGGGAACCCGTCACCCTGTGTGCCCTGTGTGCCCTGTGCCTGGCAATGCTAGCTCGTCCCACAGACCATCACCTGGGAGCTTGCTGCAAATGCAGAGTCTCAGGAAACTGCCCCCAAATGGCACCGGCCCTAGACTCCTGGGTGACCTGCGTGACCAGGTGGGTCAGGGCTGTTGGTGGAGGTCCTCCCGAGGTGGGGGCTGGAGGGAAAACACAGGAGAAGGCGGAGGGCTTCCATCCCTCTCCGAGCCAATCCTGAAACACAACTGACTTCAATCAACCACATCTAGAGGCCAACCTGTGTCACGGAAGGAGCAGGCAGCCTCCCGTCCTGTGCCAGGGCCACCAGAGTGGAGGGCGCAGCTGTTGATCCCCTAGCCCAGCCCTTGTAGAAGCCCTCGGGGTCTGGGAAGTCCCTACTGGGAAGAGGGTAGGGCCACCCTGTTGGAGGCCTCCCTGATCTCCACCCTCCAAGCCCCTGACATGCCCTCTCAGCTTCTCCAAAGGTCCCTTAGACACCAGCAGCCGCACCAGCCCTGCTAGTCCTTAAGAGCCACACGCGTTAAAACGACATTCTTATCACTTCGAACAACCCCATCTGATGGGAATCCCATCTGTGCGGGATCTTCCGGGACCCCTCCTCCACGGAGCCTTCCCTGGTTGGCCTCCATTGTGGCCATCTCAGAGCACCTCTCCTTCGGTTCCAAACTTGCCCCGGAATTACCTCAGGACTCTGGTTCCTGCCAGAACCTGGCCTGGCGGTCAGCCCTGAGTCCACAACCTGCCCAAGACCACCCACATGTAGCTGGGCAGTGCGCATTCTCACCATCTCCCGGGAAACTAACAGAGGATCGGAGTTCTCGAATGTTCCAGGCAACTGCCTGGGAAAAGAACCAGGAGAGAAGCCCCTCAGATCCTCCCTCCTGGGGGGAGAATGACAGAAGAGGAGTTTGGGTAGCACCTCTGGAGCCCCTGCCATAGGGCGACCTCCCTGCCGGTTCCCCAGGCCTGCCTTGCCCAGGCTGGGTCAGCCCTGGCCCGAGCGAGCTCTGCCGTCTCCAAGGGGAAGCGGCCCTTGGTTACCACTGGCCTGGAGAACACAGAAGGCAAAACAAACACTGGAGGCCGCTCCCGGCCCAGACTCGCTCCTCACTGCTGGGAACAATTACAAGGTAATCGGCCGGGTTTTCCAGAGTCCTCCAGAACGGGGCCAGGGTATATGCATTCCTGCCCTGCAGCTGCTGCACTCTCCCCAAAACCCCAAGACCCCCTTGTCCCAGTCAGAAAAGCACAGCAGAGCAAGGCAGGAGAGCCCCCCAAAGGCAGAATCGTGGCCCACGCCACCCACGTTTCACAGCCACAAAGTCAAGGAGAGGAGGTAACTCCACCTCAGACCTCAAAAGGTGACACTGAAGACCCCAGCCCTGCCTGGAGGGCCAGGCTCGAAGGCAAAGGCGGCCCAATTCCTTGCCCAGCCCCTTTTCCAGTCATGACTAACTCTCTGGTTCCCAGGCAACTTGTCCTGAAATGAACAGAAACTCACTAGCAAAGGAGAAAGTACACTTCCTCCTGGGCGAGGCCAAGGCTGGCAGGAGAGTGGCCAGAGCAGCATCTGGCTGTGCCCCCTGCTCCCTGCAAGTTCTGTCCTGGGGGCGGGGGCCTTAGGCGCAGCCAGGATAGCCTGGGGATGGATCTCCAAATGCCTCCTGTCACAGCAAACCCAGAGCCCCCAGGGAGTCACCAACCTCCTCCCTCGGGACAGGGTCTCCCCTGGGCAGGGACACCCCAGAAAGGGGTCCTGGGGAGCCGACAGCCAGGGCCTTGGCTGTGTCCCAGGTCTCCATGAGCAGAAGCTTGAGGAAACAGGGTAGGGAAGAGCCAAGTGACACACCCCCACCCAGCCCACCCCACCCACCTCCATGTATCCAGGTCTGGGCTGGGGGAGGAGAGAGGGGACAAGGGACCTGCAGGGAGAGATGCTGGCCCCTGCCGCATCTGAGGACTCAGTGTCTTCCAGGCACCAATTCAAGCCATGCTCTCTTTCCCGAAGCACAGCTCGGGAGGTGGGAGCATCTCCATCCCCGCCTTTTTTGAGAGACAGGCTGCTGACTTGGACAGAGTGTTGGTAGCAGATCCACAGCACTACGCACAGGAAGAGCCGCCAGGTCCCTCTCTTAAGTTACCCCACCCTGCCTCTAAAGGCACTCTTGGGTCCGTTTTTCCCATGCTGGCTTCAGGGGCCCTCCCAGGAGAGAGAGAGAGAGACAGAGCATTGGAGCAAGAGGAGGAGGAATGGAGGCAGGGAGGGGGAAGGTTCATCCTCACGGGCGGCTCTGCAGCCTCGATGGCTGTTGGCTCAGGGCCCTGGTGGCCAGGGTGTCCCCATCAGGAGGGTGGCCTGAGGCTCTGAGCAGGTGCTACCCCCAGAGAGGCACCTAAGTGGGGACCCCAGCCCAGCAAGGCTGGAGGCGCAGCACTCACAGCTGAAGGGGAGAAAAGCCTGCAGAGGGCTGGGGCGTGAGGTTGGGGTGCACTTCTCCCCCACCCCAATCCTTGTCCTGTTCTCCCATCCCCCCAAAGAGGACTTCCTGCCCCCAAACCATAGAGGCCTTAAAGTTAAAACAAGTGAACAGGTTCACTGACTAGGTGGGTAGATGGCTGGCTAGGTGTGAGGTGCTTGCCCTGGCCACACCCCTCCCCTGATTGTGAGGAGCCCTCTCCTTCTCCCTGCTGAGTCCCCCTCCATCCTTGTCCTCTTAGGGGGACATCAGGGCCAACTCCTGCCCTCTAGTCTGCCTCGGCCGCAGAGGGGTGAGGCCGTGGAGCTGGAGCTCATACCAGGGATTAGAGGCTCAGGTCCTGACTTCCATGAGCTAGGAATGTAAATGGATTATTTCTAGGATAACCAGATGGAAACAACCAGAAAAGCCCCACTTTCCCTCTCCTGTAGACCCCTCATCATCTCTTCCCACTGGGACAAGCAGAACTGATGAAGGAGTTTCTTAGAATGCCAGGAGCATCTGGGGCAATGATGCAAGAGAGCGAGCGAGAAGCAGGGTCTGCGGCCGGATGCCAAGGGCCTTGAATGCCACGATAGGGAGTCAGGCCCCAGTGCTGCCGAGCAGCCCCTCTGTGGGGACCAGCGGGCACCAGAAGGGGAGGTGGCGGGTCGGAAGGCTCTTTCCTCAAACTCATCTGCACCACCCTGGGTCTCTGGATGGGGACTATAGAAAGAACCACAAATGGAGATGGAGAGCTAGTGCCCCTTTCCAGGGGGCAATGCAGTGTCACCACCTAATGAAAAGGCACCGAGGGCAGTGGTTCCCTGAACACAGCAACTGATGCCCTTTTATTGTCTCAGAGTGAGGGACCTGCCCAAGTCGGCCAGGAGTTGCATCCTCACTACCCAGTGCTACAGGTGAACTCAGGCAGTGGCCTCCTGCCTCCTGCCCTGCCCCAGACTCTTCCTTGAATGCACACAGGCAGATGATCCCCCACTCCTCGTTCTTTCTTTTGCTTTGGGGGAAGTAGGTAAAGAACCAGGAGGAAAAATTAGATAATTTGTTTTAAGTAAACAGAAAATTCAGAGTGAGTTAACAACCCAAGAAATAACACTTCAAACCCACAGCATTGCTCACTTTCTCCTGCAGAGACGAGAATAAACGCCTACCCTGGCAGACTGCAGAGCAGCACCGAAGATAATGAATACACACGAACAGTCTACAGTTCCCAGCACACAGTAGGTCCTCAAACTGTGTCGGATGCTTACACAGCTCTCGCTCTGCATGGGGCACCTCTGAGTACCCTGTACTTGAAATGTATTAATGCGTTAAGGGTGGCTATTATTATTGTGCACATGACGTTTGGAGGGTAAAGTCTTAACTCCAACGATTATCTTCCAGCTACCGACCAAGGGACCAGAGAACCACAACATTCTTTCTTTCTTGTTTTTTACAGACAGGGTCCTGCCCTGTCGCCCAGGATGGAGTGCAGTGGCATGATCATGGCTCACTGCAGCCTCAACCTCCTGGGCTCAAGTACTCAAGTGATCTTCCTGCCTCAGCCTCCCAAGTACCTGAGACTACAGGCATGCACCATCATGCCCTGCTAGTTTTTTAGTTTTTATAGAGATGGGATCTCACTCAGGCTGGTCTTGAACTCCTGGGTTAAAGCAACCCTCCCACCTTGGAGGGTTGGCCTCCCAAAGAGCTGAGTTTATAGGCATGAGCCACTGCACCGGGCCCCAAAACACCCTCTCTGTCTTTTTTTTTAAAATTATTTTTAAGACAGTCTCGCTCTCTTACACAGGCTGGAGAGCAGTGGTGCAATCTTAGCTCACTGCAACCTCTGCCTCCCAGGTTGAGGTTCAAGCGATTCTCCTGTCTCAGCCTCCCGAGTAACTGGGATTACAGGTGTTCACCACCACGCCTGGCTAATGTTTGTATTTTTAGTAGAGACAAGAGTTTCACCATGTTGGTCAGACTGGTCTTGAACTCCTGACCTCAGGTGTATCTGCCTGTCTCAGCCCCACAAAGTACTGGGATTACAGGGTGAGCCACCGCACCTGGCTCCACAACATTCTTTTAAAGCACAAAGATACCTTAAAGATTACCCAATGAAAATCTTCCATTTTACAAAATGGTGTGTTTTATAGGCCCTGTAGAAAACAACATGGCAAAATACTCAAGACAGAATCGCCTATATGACCCGGTAAAGCCCCTTCTGGGTATACACTCAAATAAATGCAAAGCAGGGCCTTGAACAGACATTTGTACAGCCACGTTCACAGCAGCATGTTCACGATGGCTGAAAGGTAGAAGTGACCTGTGTCCATGGGCAGACGAACAGAGAAGCAAAATGGGGCCCGTCCCAAGTATTACTCAGCCTTCAAACAGGACATTTTGATACAAGCTATATGAGCGAACCTCGAACATGTTATATGAAGTAAAATAAACCAGTCACAAAAAGACAAATACTACATGATTCCACTTACACGAGGTACCGAAGCCGATCAGATTCACAGAGACTGAAAGTGGAATGGTGGTTGCCAGGGGCCGTGGGGAACAGGAATGGGGAGGGAATGACTAACAGGCAGTTTCTGGCGGGGACGATAAGAAGGTTCTGGAGATGACGGCCTGGCCAATGTGGTGAAACCCTGTCGCTACCAAAAAGGTAAAAATTAGCTGGGTGTGGTGTTGGGCACCTGTAATCCCAGCTACTCAGGAGGCTGAGGCAGGAGAATGGCTTGAGCCCGGGAGGTGGAGGCTGCAGTGAGCAACCGCCACACTCCACACTCCAGCCTGAGCAACAGAGCAAGGCTCTGTCTCACAAAATAAAAAAATAAAATAAAATGTTAATTTTATGCTATATGTATTTGCTACAATTGAAAATGCTTTGTTTTATTAAAAAAATAAAAACCTGAGGCATGAAGATTAGGTGATGAAAGGAGTCTCTCTGTCCTGATGCTACTGGGACAAATGCGGAAAGGTGTGAAGGAACGCAGCCAAGCACCGCGGCCAGGCCCCACCTGCCTCTAAGCTGGCCAGCAGCCAGGGTCTCTACCTTGAGCTGTTTCCCCAGGAGCCACGCTGGAGAGGAAAACCAGCTGGGCAGAAGGAGAATGTCACTGTTTATTTGGCTCGTAGGCTCCTTGGGCCTCTTTGCCAACCTCTTTCCTTACCATCGGAATAAACAAAAGAGGACTGTGCTCTTCCCCAGGCCGCTTTGGGGCTCAGCCGACACTGGAGGAGGCTGTGCACAGCAGGCTCACACCACAGGTGCTTCAGGAAGCTTACAAGGAGGGCTGGGGGTGGTGGCTCATGCCTGTAATCCCAGCACTTTGGGAGGCTAAGGCGGGCAGATCACCTGAGGTCAGGAGTTTGAGACCATCCTGGCCAATGTGGTGAAACGCTGTCTGTATTAAAAATACAAAAACTAGCCAGACCTGATGGCGTACACCTGTAGTCCCAGCTATATGGGAGGCTGAGGCAAAAGAATCGCCTGAACTCGGGAGGTGGAGGTTGCAGTGAGCTGAGATTGCGCCACAGTACTCCAGCCTGGGTGGCAGAGCAAGACTCCATCTTAAAAAAAAAAAAAGAAAAGAAAAAAAAGCTGACAAGACAGAATTGGAAGTAGAGGTGGACTTGAAAAAGGAGATAAATGCATATAAGAGCAAGCCCTAAATGGCTAAGAAGTGGGGATGGGCTGCTGTCTGGGAAGCGACACAGGCTGTGCTGGTCCCTGGGAGCAGACACTGAACAGGGTGGACCAAGGGTCCCACCGAAGAAGGTGGTTCCATGTTTCTCACCATTTTCCCCTGGAGTTTGTACCTGGGAGGCGATTCTTGGACCCTGGGGGTTTGCTGGTCCCTGATGCAGCCCACGAGGGCAGGAGTTCCGTCAGCACTCGCTGGTGGAGAGAACTGAAACCAAGCCTCAGCCACGGTGCCCAGGATGGGTCCAGGGTGCCAGGACCATCCACGGAGGACCACCGCGGCCGATGCCCTCTCCTGCATCTGCCACACTTCCTGTGGTCTCTGTCACCCTCCAAGCGCTCAGGATGCAGAATCAGCTCAAGCTGACTTCAGGCCTGGCCCCTGCAGGAAAAATGCTCTTCCAAGATCATGGCCTCCTAATCGATAAATTGAATGGGACCAAAAAACAAGCATCTTCTCTGCCTCTCAACTGTGTTTGAAAATATCATGCCCTTGACCTGAAATGCTCCTAGTTTCGTGACAGTATGTGACTCACTCTCTAAGGTTCTGTCACAGCTCCTCTGCCATTCTTCCTGTTCCTTACACAACAGATGTTTTTGGGGGTCTCTCCCTATACAGGGCCTCCCTCCGTAGGCTCCTTTGCTCTCATGACCCCAGGGATTGTTGCCTGTGAACTTGACCTGTCCATCAAATAGCATCTTCCCAGCGGTGACCGTGCCCTTGACTCACACATCCCCTGTAGCCTAAACAGCCCCCGCCCAGCCTCTATATTGCTGCCAGTTTCTGTCATCGACTTCCAGTTCACCCAGATTCAAACCCATCTCCCTGGATTTCCCTGGATTCCTTCTCTTCTTGGTTTCCCACATTAGCGCCCAATGTTTTTTTTTTTTTTTTTTGAGATGGAGTCTCGCTCTGTCACCCAGGCTGGAGTGCAGCGGTGTGATCTTGGCTCACTACAACCTCCACCTCCCTGGTTCAAGTGATTCTCCTGCCTCAGCCTCCCGAGTACCTGGAACTACAGACACCCACCACTACCTGACTAATTTTTTGTATTTTTAGTAGAGACGGGGTTTTACCATGTTAGCCAGGATGGTCTCGATCTCCTGACCTCATAATCTGCCTGCCTCAGCCTCCCAAAGTGCTGGGATTACAGGGGTGAGCCACCTTGCCGAATGCTGTAAATTCCTCCCTCCATAATTGCTCAATCTCACCTTCACTCTCACTGCCCACACTGGCGAGGCCATCGCAAGGGTTTCCAAGTCTCTTACATCTCAGCACACTCAAACAAATCTTCCTAAAATCATTGAGATTTTTTTTGAGAGGTAGAGATGGGGTCTCACTATGTTGCCCAGGCTATTCTCGAACTCAAGCAGTCCTTCCCCCTTGGCCTCCTGAAGTGCTGGGATTATAGGCATCAGCCAACTCGCCTGGCTGAGGGTTTAATTTTGAAAATCTGTAATTCAAACATGTATAAAAACTTCATGTATTTTTAACATTCAAGCTCTCAACATTTGACACGTTTGTTTTTGGTCCTTTTATTGCACAATAGCCAGAGGATTGGAACAGACAATACAGAGAAAAAGCAAATGCAAATGGTAAGTAAACCTGCAGGAAAAGAAGCTCAACCTCCCATGGAGACAAAGGGACATAAAAGAAAAGCAGTAGTGAGATCGCACGTACGTTGCACCCTCCGTGTTGCTACAGAGTCAATACAGAGACGGTGCCTTCTGCCTACAGGAAGTGGAAAACAAGTACCCTCGTGGCTGTGGGATCTGAATCCCACAGCTTTGGGGAAACGAACGGGCAACTGATCCAGCAATTCCATCCCTGGTGCATGAGCCCGTAAGAACAAGAGCGCCGGCGGGGTGCAGTGGCTCACGCCTGTATTCCTAGCACTTTGGGAGGCTGAGGCAGCTCACCTGAGGTCAGGGGTTCGAGACCAGCCTGGCCAACATGAAGAAATCCTGTCTCTACTAAAAATACAAAAAATTATCCAGGCATGGTGACATGTGCCTGTAATCCCAGCTACTCAGGAGGCAGAAGCAGGAGAATCGCTTGAACCCAGGAGGCAGAGGTTGCAGTGAGCCGAGATGGCGCCACTGCACTCCAGCCTGAACAACGAGTGAAACTCCATCTCAAAAAAGGAAAAAAAAAAAGAACAAGAGCACCAGTAGCAGGAGATCCATAAAAGGGTGTTTACGATAGAGATGTGGCCACTTCTTGCCACTCCAAATCAAGTGCATCGCCGAAGGTCACTCAGGCAGATCGCCCCGATATGTCTGCACCATGAACCATCATTATGCAGCAATTAAAAAGAAGAGGTGGAACCACATCAGTAAGCCTGGAGACACTTCCACAAACATTCAGCAGGAAGAGCAGCAGAGAACATGAAAGGAGAGCCCAGTCTAATCAAACAGTGGCATCCTCAAGATGCAGACGTACGGGTCGGTGTTGGCAGGGGGTGTGAAATATTCTGGGTGCATCATCCTTCCATAAAAGGTTTATGTTGTTTTTTTTTTTTTTTTTTTTTAAGTACGTAAAAAAAGACCCAGAAAATTACAAGCGTTGGCAAGGATGTGGAGAAACTGGAACCTTTGTGTATCATTGATGGAAATGCAAAACGGCATAGCCTGCTGGACACAGTCAGTGGTTCCTCAAAAAACTCACAATGGAATGAGCCTACCATCCCGCGGCTCAACACTACTCAACTGCATGTCTTAAATGGTTAAAATGGTAAATTTTATGTTTGTATTTTTATATGTTACCATGATTTTTAGAAGAAGTTCAGAAGGACATCAGTTTGGGAAGGGAGAGAGAAAGGACAGGAGGAAGGGATGGGGACAGGCAAACCCAAAATACTCCCCTGAATGTGTGGTGAAGTTAGGGATACATGTATCTGCATCACAGGGTCAGCTGGCAGGATATTACCATGGTTTCCTTGGGGTGGTAGGAGTGAGAGATTGGCAAATCTTTATAATTATTATTTTTATTGTTATTATCTTTTGAGATGGAGTTTCGCTCTTGTTGCCCAGGCTGGAGTGCAGCAGCATGATCTTGGCTGGCTGCAACTTCCGCTTCCTGGGTTCGAATGACTCTCCTGCCTCAGCCTCCCAAGTAGCAGGGATTATGGGCACGCACCACCACACCTGGCTAATTTTGTATTTTTAGTAGAGATGGGTTTAAGCGTGTTGCCCAGGCTAGTCTTCAACTCCTGACCTCAAGTGATCTGCCGGCCTCAGTCTCCCAAAGTGCTGGCATTACAGTCTCAGCCACCATGCCTGGCCTGGTACATCTTTATGTGTACATATCAGGTGTCATTCAGATTCTTCTCAATGAGCAAGCACTAGCAATTATTTAAGCCACCCATCTCCAACAAACTACAGTGAGAAGAGACACCTTGTGTCCTCGGAATGGAGGTAACAGACCCACGCGGATGGTCACGGTTCCCTTTTCCTCTTTGCAAAAACATGTGGTCACCTGCTCCTGAGCCACTCTGAACCCACTGTCCTGTCATCCACAGCAGTTTTCTCCCTGGGCTCTAGAAATCAGTCCCAAAAAAGATTCCAGCAGCCTCACAGTGTCAAAGTTTTGAGAAGAAGTGTCTGTAGAGTCACACTACCCACAGAATGTTCTCTTCTACCTCCACACTCAAGCCCACCATCTCCATGACCCACTGCCATCTGTCCAAGGCAGAGGTCTGGGAGGTCTCCTGGGCTCTAGCAGTAACTTCCTTTGTCGTTGTGGTGTTGTTATTTTTGAGACTAGGTCTCACTCTGTCACCCAGGCTGGAGTGCAGTGGCGCGATCTCCACTCACTGCAACCTCCCCATCCTAGTTCAAGGGATTCTCCTGCCTCAGCCTCCTGAGTAGCTGGGACTACAGGTGCATGCCACCATGCCTAATTTTTGCATTTTTTTTTTGTAGAGATGGGGTTTCACCATGTTGGTCAGCTGTCCAGCACTATCTTTTGACAGGTGGCCTCGCCGATCTTCCCAAATGCTCTCTCCCCTACTCCCTTCCTGGGACCCTCTCCCCTGACCTATCCACCACCATGTGCCACCTCCCCTGACATCTCCATCATTGCCCTCAAGCCCTTGGCATGAAGTTCATGGACTGAGACTCCCACCCCTGTCCACCCATCCAGGATCTCGCCTTTCCTCCCCTCTCCAGCTGCGTCTCCCCCGACCCACAAACCCCTCACCTGGTGGCACCTGAGCCCCATGCAGACTGAACTGCCTGCATTGCTTCATACAACTGTCCTCAGGTGTCTTCAAGTCTCCCCCTTGGGAGGCCTTCCCCGCCACCCCACCCCCCACGCGAGCTCCTACACATCTGCCAGAGTTCTGGCAAGTCTTTCTGCCCTTGACTGGCAAATTCCAGCGAGTGCAGGGTCCACCCCTGTCAGGGCAAAGCACTGGTTTTCTCTTCTTTTTTAGAAATGGAGTCTCGCTCTGTCACCAGGCTGGAGTGCAGTGGGGTCACCTCGGCTCACTGTAAACTCCGCCTCCTGATTCAGCTGCCTCAGCCTCCCAAGTAGCTGGGACTACAGGCACACATCAGCACACTCAGCTAATTTTTGTACTTTTAGTAGAGATGGGGTTTCACCATGTTGGCCAGGCTGGTCTTGATCTCCTGATCTTGTGATTTGTCTGCCTCAGCCTCCCAAAATGCTGGAATTACAGGTGTGAGCCACCGTGCCTGGCCAGAGCAGTGGTTTTCAACCAGGGTGATTTTACCACCCTCCCTTCTCTACTCCAGGACATTTGACAATGTCTGGAGACACGTTTGGTGGTCACAATTTGGGGTAGCGTCTGGTGGGTGGGGGCCAGGGACGTTGCTAAATGCCCAGCAATGCCCAGCACAGGCCCCACACGGACAATTCCCCTGCCCTATGGCAACAATGCCACAGCAGTGCTGGGAAGCCTCGACGCAGAGTGTGCTTTAGGTGAAAGGATGCAGGGTATTCCTGGGACAAAACCATCTTTGTGTGCCCAGAAGCACTACCTAGAACCCAGCACCTGCAACCCGGGGTCAACTCCCTGGCTCTCCCAGGCCAGAAGGGAGGCGGTCAGCGGGAGCTCCGTGCTGATTCCAACTCGCTCATCAGCCTCTGGGTTACCCTGAATGAGACGTTTACCTCTCTGGGCCTTAGAGTCCCTGCTTATAAAATAAAGCGTTGAAAGAAATCAGCTCTTCCCAAAGTGGCCTTGACAGAGTCGTAAAGCACTTGAAATCATTTCTGAGTGGGAGGAAACATTTATCCCCTTCTAGAGAGTCACAAAGTGCATCAGCATCTTAAAGACTCTGGGAAGTCCTGCAAGGCAGAAACTCAAGGGTTCTGTTCAACTGCAGCAGTTCCCAAACTTGAAGAACAGGGACACTTCCTGGAGCACATCTTTGCAAACACCGTGAGAGACGGCAGTCTGGAGGACCTCCACATGTCTCTGGGCTCAGCAGCTTCAAGACTTTATTGATGAGCCAGGCCCCCCTCCTCCCTTGGCCCCTGTACGGAATCCTCCACACAGCACGTTCATCTGGCTCTAAAGGAGGGGGTGTCAAGGTGTGCGGCAGAGCTGAGATGTTTACCATGTGACATAATGGTTGTTCATCACCTGCTCCAGCTAAGCAAACTCTCTGAAAAGTCCACGCCATGCCCCCGAAATCCTCCCAAAGTGTAAATGTGATTGGTGCACTCCATTCACGAATCCAAAGTCAGGGGCCTGCACTTTGGTGAGAAACTGAGGCTGGTCCTAGGCCCCATTAGGGCCCGTCCTCTTAAATCTAGACTAGGGTTGGCCAAATTACACCCAGAGGCCAAATGTGGCCCACTGTCTACTTCTGGAGGTGAAGCTTTATTGGCACACAGCCAGGCTCACGGTTTACATGTTGTCTGTGGCTGCTTTCACTCTACAAACAGAGCCGAGTCGTTATGGCAGACACCATGAGGTCTACCAAGCCTCAACAGTTACCATCTCACCCATGTGCTGACCATGGTTGAGACCCTGGGAAATGGTGAAGAAACAGGGGTCAAATCTCTCCCCGAAACTCCCCCAAGACTGCTGTATGGGCTCAAGTGCTTGGATCCAGGTGCACTGGGGTGGCCAGCTGCTCTTCAAACACAGACAGATGCTGCTGTCTGCCCAACCTGTGCCCAACCCTGCCCTCCCCATCCGCCTGCTCTGCCTTGTAAGGTGCATTCCCCATGGTGCAGCCTTTCCCGGACCCCTGGTGACACCCGCTTCCCTTTACACACCAGAACCTCATCTCCAGCAGCTATCATCCTCTGACTGGCGATCGACTTTTAAGCACGTACCCGCTGAAGACATATACACTCATGCGTATGTGATACTCACATGCTTCTGTATCAATAGATTACATGCATTATGAAACACACATCCCCAAAATAGAAATGAAACTAGATGAGATAAAAATAGCTACCAATTTCTGCCCACATTGGGGTGGATCTTCCTATGAGTGGCTGCTCTGGATGCTATGGGCTTAGAGGACCACCTGGGACCCTCGGAAGCGCTGCACTTGGGTAGAGGGGGTGGTGCTCGTCTCTTCCTCAGGAAACGACAGGAGATGCATCTAAGAAAGAGGAACCATCCCAATGCCCGCCCTGAGCACCTGCCCCTAAGCCATGACCCCCCAGTTCAAGAGGTCTGAAGTTCCTGGGACCAAGTTCTTCTCCAATCTGGAAGACTGGAAAGGGCTGTGAACAGGAAAGAAGGGGTTAGGGTCCCCCCACCCACCGCCACCAAAAAAAGGCGCCAGCTGCTCCCCTGGCAGCAAACACCCTGGTGTATCCAGGGGGATTTTTGTGTTTTGACTCAGAGGCAGTAAGTCTTTCAGTTAATCCAGCGCAGACTAAACTGCAGGAATGAGAAAGCCCCTCAGGAGCGGCGGGCTCACCATGTCTGCTCGGCCAGTGGGAGGGAAGATGGCTGATGATCAGGCTGCTGTTTTTCTATGGAGGCAGCTGACCAAGGTGGCTTCCTTCTGGAAGGTGGCATAGGAGCCACCGCAAGGCCCCCAGCTCCTTGGGGCTCTCAGACTCTCAACTCACCTTCTACTTGGAGCCCACCCAGCCCAACCACCAGGGAGAACATTCGGCCACATGCAGACAGCGACCCCGGTGGTCTTGAGGTGAACCTCCCACCTCCATGTCCCCTCTGGTCATGCCTTTAGCCTCTGTGCCTGGGCAGTGTGAAGGGACTCCTCCGACACCACCCACTGACTTTTCTGTGGCCCCTTCAGAGACTCCAAGAGCTTCCACGGCGTCAGGTCTGCCTGGCCCCGGGTTTCTCTACCTCCACTGCACAGGGAGACTGAGGATCAGAAAAGCAACCTGCCCAGCCTTCCAGGTGGTGCTGGGAACAAACACAGATCTTTCCAAGGGTCCTGCAGAATGGTTCTTTGTTATTCAAGAAGTCTTCTCAGGAGCATCAGAGCCCCAACCAATGAAAGGCAGGGAAGAGTAAACTCAGCCCCACTGAGAGCATTCCACCTGACCTCCCCACGTAGCAGCTGGCCCAGCCAACCTCCAGGGGACAGATGGACGCAGGGGTAGAGTGGGACAGGTCATTCGGACCTCAGGGAGCCCACATTCCTCCCGGCCAGGACCCAGGACACTCTGTCAGCTCCTTCCCCCATGCTCTTCTGCCTGCACCACTGGCCTTTTGGCTCTTCCTGGCACCTGCCAAGCTCCTATCTCAGGATCTCTGCCCTTCC